TAAACGTTAAAAAAAAAAAATTTTTTTTTAAAAAGAAAAAGTAATCTTTTACCTTGAGCTCTTGTTTTCCTTCTGAAAAGTATGTGTAGTTAATTTTTGTGAAAGGCCCTTTCCATTTTATTTTACAAATAAAAGATGTGCTAATTAAAAAAAAAAACAAAAAAACGAAACAAAGTAGCTGTACCAATTTGCATTCCTACCAATAGTGCACGAGGGTTCCTTTTGCTCCATGTCTTTGCCAGTACTTGTTATTTCTTATGTTTTTTATTTTAGCCATTCTAACAGGTATAAAGTGATATCTCATTGTGGTTTTAATTTGCATTTCCCTGATGGTTAGTGATACTGAACATCTTTTCATGTGTCTGTTGGTGATCCATATGCCTTCTTGAAAAAGCTGTCTACTCAGGTCCTCTGCCCCTTACCTTTTATTTTAGAGAGAGAGAGAGAGAGAGAGAGAGAGAGAGAGACAATCTCAAGCAGGCTCCACACTTGGTGCAGAGCCTGATGTGGGGCTCGATCCCCCGACCCTGCGATCATGACCTGAGCTGAAATCAAGAGTTGGATGCTCAACCGAGTGAGCCACCCTGGCACCCCTCTCTGCCCATTTTTAAACTGAATTATTTGCTTTTTTTGGCGTTGAGCTGTGTGAGTTCTTCACACATTTTGCATATTAACTTAATGGGTAGTGTTCTTTCTGAGGTGATGAAAATGTTCTAAACTTAGACTACAATGACAGCTGCACAACTCTGTGAGGATACACAATAAATGAACTGTACACTTGAATGAGTGATTTTTGTATCAAAAATTGTTTTAAAAGTTAAAACTGTAACACTGTGTAGTTTTCAATGCATGTGGGCATACATGATAACTACATAAAGCACAGCCACGGAACACAAAGTGGCAAAATTAACTTTAAGTAGATTGAGAAAGATTACGCAGGTATACTATAATCCCTAGAGCAACCACGAACAAAAAACCCAAAATCAAAAATGTAAAAGAAAATCAGAAGTGAGAGTGAAAACAGGTTTTTCATACAGAAACTGAAACTTTCTGAAAAAACTAAGCGTTTTAGTTGGAAGAACAACTAAAGAATGTGCTTCAAGAAAAAAGAAAATAGACCCAGAATGAAGGAAACACTTTGCAAAGAAAAATAAAAGAAAAAATACTGCATATGAAGTACAGAAAAATTTCGTAGCCAAAAAACAAAAAAAGACTCCCTTAAAAACACAGCAAAATTATGAAAAAATTAACATACATATTAATTAAAAGCAAAGAAAAGATTTTCTAACAAGAAGCTTAAAAAACCCCACATTAATAGATATATACATATGGACAGGCTACCTATGGAGTGAGGAACAAAGTTTGGATGATGAAAATTCTACTTTATGTATTTTAAAATTCCATATAGTTTAAAATTCTTAAAGCTTTTGTAAAGAAAATAAGAAATAACATGGAAGAAGTAAATCCACGAAATCGCATATAAAAGTAGGTATTAAAGACAATTACTCAATTCATTTTTTCAAAAAGCATGAGAGCAGGAAAATCATATGCAAAATGAAACCAATGAGAATCATCCCATAAACACAAATATGCAGGAAGAAATAACATTTTCTCCCAAACAATTCAATATATCCAAAGAATGTATATACTATAACACTCAAAGTCATTACAAAAGAATGGAAATACTTTATTTTTTTTAGTGTTTTTAAATTTATTTTTGAGACAGAGAGAGACAGAGCAGGAGCAAGGGAGGGGCACAGAGAGAGGGAGACACAGAATCTGAAGCAGGCTCCAGGCTCTGAGCGGTCAGCACAGAGCCCGATGCAGGGCTCAAACTCACAAACTGCGAGATCATGACCTGAGCCAAAGTCGGACACTTAACCGACTGAGCCACCCAGATGCCCCAATACTTTTTTTTTGAAAATACTATTTATAGTATACATACCTTGACTGTTTTGTACAGACTTTGTTTTAGCAACTCTACATGGATTTAACTGAAGAACAGATGTAAGTTCACATGCTCCATGGACTGACCTGCCTATTTTTACTGGCTCATGAGAATCAGCTCCCTAAAACAGGAAGAATTATTAGCATCTAGATAAAATCACAAACAACTCTTTTAATAAAAATACTTGAACATTTGACACTAACCTTCACATCATCAAAAAGATTGTCTGTCTCTAAACTTTCACGCGGACGTAGAGGGATTTTAAAGATGGGATTTTCTTCCTTGATTTGTAATGGTGTTTTATTATCTGGAGATGATTTATCCAAGGACTGGAGGATGCATGCCTGTAAACAGGGCTCCTCTGGGGAATCTCTGGTTAATATACAGCTCCCACTTAAGGTCTTTCGGCTTGAGGAAGAGCCCTTGGGAATGGGCTTCAGGGCCTCATAGAGAGTCACTTGCCTAAATCTGACTTTAGAGGTCTCACTTCCTTGGCTTTTCTCTTGACGTTGAATAGCTGAAAATCGATCAGACAGATCCAGAGGTTTATCCATCACATAGTCTCCATTCACGGAAGAATGACTATCCAGTAAAAAAGGAAAAGCATTTTCTTTATCAAAAGAGGCCTGAGGGTAGCTTCCTTCATCTTCACTTTCTTCCTCAATTTTCTTCCTTTTGGATGTTCTGCCTCCCAGTGATTTCAGTGGCACTGCATGTTTATCAGTGACAGCATCTTTAATGTGATCAAAACTATCCTGTTCACTTTTGGGTTCATTTATACTTTTATTTATAAGCATCTGTTTATTTGAAGATGACAGGCTAATGATCTTGTTCACTTCAGACCCAAGATTATGCTGTGTGAAAAGGGCACTATCTTCAGATTTTGAAGTTGTTTTTCCTAGTCTAGAATTAGAAGTGTTGTTGAAGGGTGCTGTTTTCAAAAGGTTTTTTTTCCCAGTCTCTAAGAGAGAAGGGGACAAACTTGTATTCAAACCTAAACTGCGTTTCACATTAGAGGTAGCTCCAAATACAGGAGATGATACCCGAGTAGTTAACTCTTCCTGAGGAGTCTTTGAATTAGAATCTGAAAACCTGAAAAAATAAAGAGTGGTAAAAAGAAATAGGGTAAAAGTTAAAAGACAAGCATATGAGAAAATTTACACTAATATAGAATATTAGTAGTGAGGTCTTAGCCATGTATTAGACTCAAATAATTTATTAACCAACATTTGAAATAGGGTAGAGTTGTCAGCTTCTCTTCATTTGGCTGACAAAAAGCTGAGGAAAATTATACAGTAAATTTATCTCAATACCTTGATATTCCTCTCCATAAATATTTTTCCTAGTAATTTAAGCAATTTCACTATATACGAAAATCATAGCTTAATAAATTCAGTGGGGACCTAAATTCTTTCGTTGTTATGAAATCTTATAATAAGTAACTTCAAAAAATAAAAATCTTATACTACAGAATTGAACATAACTTAAGACCCAGCCTGCTTCTAGCAGAGGAGACAGTTATGGTAGTAGAAAGAGTATTAGGTTTCAGTTAGAAGATGTGGCATGGGTAAGAGCTCTGGCTCTAGTTATTAACAGCTATGTAGTATTAAATAAGACGTTTAACCTCTGGGGAGCTGTGTTTTTGTTGACTAAAAATGGGAGTAATCAAAAACCTACTTTCATGAGTTACTTTGATGACAAATTAAATGTGATATATGTATCTAAAACCGAAAGCACCTTTTTTTAAAGTTGTCTTTCTTTCTTTCTTCTTTCTCTCTCTCTATTTATTTAGGCGTGCCTGGGTGGCTTAGTCAGTTAAGCATCCAACTCGATTTCAGCTCATTACCTTGCGGTTTGGGGGTTCAAGCCCTCCATCAGGCTTGGTGCTGATAGTGTGGAGCCTGCTTAGGATTCTTTCTCTCTCCCTCTCTCTTTACCCGCTTGCTCTCTCTTCCTCACTCTCTCAAAAATAAATAAATGAGAGAGAGAGAGAGAATGAGAGGAAGGGGCAGAGAGACAGTGGGGGAGAGAGAGGATCTCAAGCAGGCTCCACACTGTCAGCATGGAGCCAGATGAGGGGCTTGAACTCACGAACCATGAGATCATGACCTGAGCCTAAATCAAGAGTCCGATGCTCAACCAACTGACCTATGCAGCCCCTGTGCCCCACTTCTGAAAGCACTTTTATTTTTATTTATTTTTTTTTTTTAATTTTTTTTTTCAACGTTTATTTATTTTTCGGACAGAGAGAGGCAGAGCATGAGGCAGAGGAGGGCCGGAGAGAGAGGGAGGCACAGAATGGAAACAGGCTCCAGGCTCTAGACCCATCAGCCCAGGGAAGCCAGCCGGGAACGCTCGAACTCCGCAGGACCGCGAGATGTGACCTGGCTGGGCAGCAACCCATTCATACAGAAGCGCCCCTGAAAGCACTTTTAAAAAAGCAAAATACTACACAAATATAGATAAGATTAGTTAGTGGATGTTCTGAAATTAGTAAATAGGAGACACAACACAATCTTGAAAATTCACCTAAGTTTATAAGTGCATTTTATATAACATCCATATATAACATTTTTTTGGAAATACAAACACAGAAGGGATGACTGGGTCTTTATAGAGGCAGAGTAACAAGGCTGGACTCTGAACTACTGCTTGATAGAAGTATAAAAAGACCCCCCAAATAATATTCCTCTCTCTACAGTAATGCAAAAAGCCCTCAATTGACCATGAACTGGAGAAAAATATTTTTTAAAATAAAAATTAATACAATATGCTGACAGAGAGAAATCATTAATTATATGGAACTCAACTGTAATGAGATCTCACCAATAGTCTGCAAGTTATTATTAAAGTGCCCCAAATTACCTTAAAGTATCTTCATTGTTTCTTACAGATTCCTCAAAAGGTTGTTTCTTGTGATCTTCTAGACAATGATAGAGTTCATCACCAAGAGGGCTCGTGGGACCCTGAGATTCCTTCAAAAGTAAAATATAAAGTATATAAATACAATGGAAGATTATTCATTCTTAAAAAGGAATGAAATGTTGATACATTCTGCCATTTGGATGAACTTCAAAAACAGGCTAAGTGAAAGAAGCCAGACTCAAAACCCACATAATGCAAAATTCCATTCACATGAATTATCCAGAATAGCTAAATCCATAAGGACAAAAAGCAGCCTGGTGGTTGCCAGGGGTTGTGGGTAGTCGGGAATGAGGACTGAATGTTTAACAGGTAAAGGGTTTATTTTGGGGAAGATGAGAATTTTTTGGAACCAGAGATGTGGTAGTGTGTAGTAATACTGTGTAATACTGTGTAGTACTAAATGCCACTGAATTGTTATGCACATTTCACCACAATAAAAAAAATAAGCACTTTTAAGTTTAGAGAGAGAAAAGCCCCAATATTTTACATAAGCACATTCTATTACTCATGTAAAACTCCATAAACTTCCAAAAAACGTTATTTAGATGGGGGGAAAGGAATAAAGATAATTATTTACACTGACAGAAGATGAATTTAAAAGACTCCTTCAGAGAGCAGTGCTTCTCAAACTTTAACATGCATTCAAGTCAACTCGGGATCTTGTTAAAACACAAGTTCGCTTGCAGTTAGGTCTTGGGTGGGGTCTGAGATTCTCTATATCTAATAAAACTTTAAGGTGATACAGATGCTATTGGCCTGTGGATCATACCTCAAGAAACATGTCTTTAGAGATCAGCTCCCTTAATTTATCTGGTGCTGAAACTACTTATTTGTCAGATATATGGGTAGGAAGAATTAGAAACCATTAAAACACATTTAAAGTTCAAAGGTTAAAAATTACCCATTACCACTTGAAGAGGGATTTAAAACTTAGAAAGAAAAAAAAATCTAAACATAGTGAAAAATCAACTCAATTTTTATTTATTTTATTTTTTAATGTTTATTTATTTTTAAGAGAGAAAGAGTGCCAGCAGGGAGAGGCCGAGAGGGAGGAAGACACAGAATCTAAAGCAGGCTCCAGGCTCTGAGCTGTCAGCCCAGAGTCTGACGTGGGGCTTGAACTCACGAAATGTGAAATCATGACCTGAGCTGAAGTCAGATGCTCAACTGACTGAGCCACCCAGGTGCCCCTCAATTCAAGTTTTAAAACTTGAACAGCAAGACAATTTTGTAGGAGCACATATACATTTACTGACTAAAGCAAAGGAATACTATTTTAAAGTGGTATCAAAATAAAACTTAAATAAATAAAACTTGAAATTCTTCAATTTTAAGTTTTCTATTTTTAGGGACCAATTAAGAAACAAAGTGAATGTGTCTGATATAAAGAAGTACTAAAACAACAAAAATTAATTCATGGGATCAATTTCTGACCCAATCCCTAAGAATCAAGTGGCACAGAATCAGATGAATACGAAGAATTCAGCCTGTTTTCCAAATCAAACCCTAATTTAAAGGATATTGAAAAATTCCAATAAATTCTGAAACCAACCTTAAGGTTTAAGTCTTCAGTTAGATGGAACAGGATAGGGGTAGGTAGGATAGAGTAAACAGGAAAGGGTTGGCCAAACCCTCTATGCCATCATCACTTCCCTAAAATTTTGACTCAACCCACAACCTATATGCCAAGAATTCTAAAGACTCCAGATTTCTGGGACTGCTGGAGTAGAGACTATAAATAGGCCTTTCTAACCACATCAATTTTGTTCTAGGTCTTTATTTTTTATTTTTCAATGTTTTTTTATTTATTTTTGGGACAGAGAGAGACAGAGCATGAATGGGGGAGGGGCAGAGAGAGAGGGAGACACAGAATCGGAAACAGGCTCCAGACTCTGAGCCATCAGCCCAGAGCCCGACGCGGGGCTCGAACTCACGGACCGCGAGATCGTGACCTGGCTGAAGTCGGACGCTTAACCGACTGCGCCACCCAGGCGCCCCTCTAGGTCTTTATCTGATGACCCTGGGATAAAATACTTTTTCTTTTGCTTAATACTCTAAACACCAACACTAAAGGACACCAATTAATTCATATTTTCACCACACTAAACAATTACTTACAGATTCTTCTTGAACACTAAGTCCAAGTGTTTCAGCAACAACTGTAGCCAAATTAAAAGATGACTTATCAGTAGGACAATGGTTTGTTCCATGTGTTTCTAAGTTAGGAAAAAAAAAAAAACCCAATTATACAACTGTAGAAATGACATGTATTGAAAAATACAAAAAAGGAAAGTAAGAGGCTCAAAGAACCACTTTACAAGATAGCACTGAATAATTTTAAAATTCTGTGCAAAACATCTGTGCCAAAAAGTCCAAAATATCTACTACAAATGGCAATAAATTGCAGGTATCTAACATCTACATCTGCCAAACTTTTTCAGCTAAGATTTCCTACTTTTCCTAAATGGACTGAATGCAATGGGCAGATTATTTTTCTCATTGTCACTCAGAAGAAAAAACAAACCCAAAAAATCATATATAATTGTGCTGGATTTCTTGTGCCCTAAGTTACAGCATGAATATAAAACCATATTTATAGTGCCTTTTATGACAATATACTTTGTAGAAGAGATTTTCAACTCTGCATTATTTTCAAGATTTAAGCTAAATACAGAAATCACCTGTGTTCAAGTATTTTACAAAGCTTTATATATGCAGAGTTTCAACCAGTCAACAAGTATTTATGGAGCACATACTATGTTCTAGGCATGTGTTAGGCACTTGATCAAAGGAAAAAAGGTTCTTGTCCTCAAGGAGCTTCAGGGCTTATACGGGTGAAACAGAAAGTAAAAAAGAGAATTGCAATAAAATGTGATACACATTAAAGGAACATTAAAGGTGCACATAAGTGTTGATTTAAACATAAAGAAAGGATTCCTAAATCTGCCTTGGGAATATCAAGGAAAGATACACTAAACGATGCCTAACCTGACCCTGGAAAGAAAGAGGAACTTGATAGGTCAAACGGGCTGGGGACAGAAAGAAGGATTCTAGGTACGTGTAAGGGTTCAGATATGTCAAACAAAATTGCATGTTTAGAGGGGCGCCTGGGTGGCTTGGTCGGTTAAGCGTCCGACTTCGGCTCCGGTCATGATCTCACAGTCCGTGAGTTCAAGCCCCGCGTCGGGCTCTGTGCTGATAGCTCGGAGCCTGGAGCCTATTTCAGATTCTGTGTCTTCCTCTCTCTCTGCTCCTCCCCTGTTCATGCTCTGTCATAAATAAACGTTAAAAAAAAATTAAAAAAAAAAATTGCATGTTTAGGGAACTATAGGTGTTTTAATTGCTGGGAATCAAAATGCAAAAGCTATAACAGTAGTACGATATGAGCCCAGACAGGTCAGCGAGGGATTTCTCTCTCTCCCACAGGGGTGTGGAGAGGTGAAGAGTGGAATCTATACTTTATTGGATTCAACTAGAGGGAATGGGAGATAATACAGAAGAACACAGACTACTTTTTCAGCTTTGAAGAGAAGCTGTAGCTAAGAATGGAGACAATTAAGAGAGGCGTTATTTTTATTCATATTTAGTCATTAAAAAAAATTAAGTTTATTTATTTACTTGGAAGAGAAAGAGATAGTGTGAATGGGGGAGGGGAAGAGGTAGAGGGAGAGAGAGAGATAGAGGGACAGAGAGAATCCCAAGCTGGATCTGCACAGTCAGCACGGAGCCCAAGGCAGGGCCCAAACTCACAAAACCATGAGATCATGACCTGAGCCAAAACCAAGGTTGGATGCTTAACCGACTGAGCCACCCAGCCGCCCCAACAGGGGTTATTTTTAAAAGATGGAAGATAACATGTGCATATTTTGAAAAGAATGAACCTGCAGAGAAGCTGAAGATTTAAGAGGGCAACAGAGGGAGCAAAATCCTGGCAGCAGTAGAGGAGAATGTGCCCCAGAGTGCAGACAAGCAAGGATCTACCACTCAGTGTTACATCCTCAGCACCCTTTGCTAGACAGTCTGTCCTCCTCTCACACACACACTAATATGAAATGATTTCTTAGCTTTTAGAGTATAAGTTTTGTACTCATACTAAATGAGTAAGTGATTAACCTTGACCAACCCTTCCAACTGGCATCTGGATCCCATCTCCCCTTACCTTTTCACAGATGTAGTAACAGTTTCCTCTTTCCTTAGAGTGACTCATTTCTTTCTCTTTACTTGATCTTTCCATCAACATAAAAATATGCTGCATATGCTGTACTATCCCATCTTCTAACATCCTCGCTTGACCCATTTTCTCTCTAGCTACTGTCCCATTTTCCCCTCCCCTTTACCACAAAACATCTTGAAGGACTTGTTTACAAGTTCTCTCTGCTTTCTCTGATCGCTTCTCTTGAGCATGCAACAGTCTAGAGGAATACCATTACACTTTAACAGTTCACGTTAACACTCAGAAGATCTGCATGTGACCAAATTCAATAGTGAATTTTCAGTCTTCATCTTGCCTGACCTATTAGCACAGTCTGCCAGTTGACCACTCCTTTCTCTCTCCACTTGGCTCAAAGGACACTACTTTATCTCAGTTCTTCTATCTCCCTGGCAGCTCCTTCTCTGGTTACTTACTTTGTTGGTTCCTCCTCATTTTCACAACCTCTAAATCAGCATCTAGACAGCTGTAATATTGCCTCTGAAGAGGTGAAAAATGGTTATTTGAAGGCAAAATAATCTTTTTATACATAAAGCACTTACATACATACACTCATACAGTGTATCTGCAGTATTGAAATTTCATGGAAAAATAATTAGGGGAAAAAACATCTTAAAAGTTTAGTGTGGGGGTGGGAAAAATAGTTCAGAATCACTACTTAAATTTTTAAAAAATATTTATTTGAGAGAGAGAGAGAGAGAGAGTGTGAGCGAGTGCGGAGTAGGGGCAGAGAGAGAGAGAGGAAGAGTGAGAATCCCAAGCAAGTTCCACGCTGTCAGTGTAGAGCTCGACACAGGGATTGATCTCACCAACCGCAAGATCATGACCTGAGGCAAAATCAAGAGTTGGACGCCCAACCTACTGAGCCATCCAGGCACCCCTTATTTTATTTTTTCTAAGTAGGCTCCACACCCAGCATGGAGCCCAACATAGGGTTCAAACTCATGATCCTGAGATCAAGACCTGAGCTGAGATCAAGAATTGGACACGTAACTGAATAAGTCACCTAGGTGCCCCTGAGAACCACTACCTTACATAATGAAGCACCCCAGAGCTTAGTACTTGAACTTCTTCTCTTCCCTATCTACATTCACTTGCTTGGTAATCTCATCCACCTACATGCTAACAATTTCCTTTCATATCTCCATCTTAGACCTTTCTAAACTCAGATCTAACTACTCATCCAAAGTCTTACCTGAATGACTCTCCAGTATCTCAGAGTATTCTCAAAACCAAACTTCTGATTTCTAACCACCCCTATCCCCACCTTTATTCTTCTTTTTTTTAATTTTTAAATATTTATTTTTTTTTTGACAGAGTGAGAGACAGAGCACGAGTGGGGGAGGGGCAGAGAGAGAGGGAGACACAGAATCCGAAACAGGCTCAAGGCTCCGAGCTGTCAGCACAGAGCCCGATGCGGGATTGAACTCATGGACAGCGAGATCATGACTTGAGCCGAAGTTGGATGCTCAACCAACTGAGCCACCCAGGCACCCCTCTCCACCTCTATTCTTGAACCTGATACTCCTAGTCTCTTTCCTGTTTATAAACAGCAGCTCTAAAGAACAGAGTTGCCTAAACCAATCTCCCCTTCACTCACACTGTTCTGCCCTAGTCATGAAGGCTTCCTTACCATCCTTCATAAAGAACCAAATAGCATGCTCATCTGAAGGCCTACGAGCTCTGACTTCTCTACCTGGGATGCTCTTTCCCCCTATGTCCATATGACTTCTTTGCTTCCGTAAATCTCTCCTCAAGCGTCACTTTTTAAAGTGAGGCTTTCTAGTCTCTCTTCTGACCCAGCTTCAGAACACTTGCTTCTACCTAATATGTATTCATTTTCTTTCTCCCTCAACTAGATTACAACCTCTATGAAGTTAAGGGCTTTGTTTTCTTCAGTACCTGGTATACAGTAGGTACTCAAGTATTTGTTGAATGAATGAATAAACCACAGTAAAGCCTGTTTACTTAAAATTATTAGCAATCTGTATTAACATGGCTAGGGATATTAATATGACTACGGATATTAATATGAATAATGGGACATTATTTTCCAATATGAAAAAGATTACTACACAACCAACAATACAAACAAAATCATATGGAAAATATTGTGTAATTCAGACTTCTGGCCACTCTTCCTTACCAGTAACCACAAATTTTAAACTTACGAAGTAAATCTCAATATGCTTACTAGACACTGGGGATTGACTCTGATCACAAGTGTCAGCCACCAGAATTTCACTTTCATTAGGTTTATTCTGTGGATGAATTGAAGACTTTGGAAGTTTTCTGAGTTCTAAGGGGAAAAAAAGAAATTACATATAAACAAACAATTATGATACAAAATATTATTTTGATAAGCCAATACAAACCTGTCCTTAAGTGCATTAGAAGTATTATTTTATTGATTCTAATAAAAAGCTCATTCCTTTGGTATCACTAAGAAACAAAGCTGGAAGTTAGGACAGAGAGAGGGACTAGAACAGATAAGCTTCTTCTGACCTAAGTTTCCTAGAGTTGTAATGTTTTAATGCATCTTTTCCTTATGTATTTGTTGCAAATCAGTCAGGTTCATTTAAAATGAATACTGCATCATATACCTCTGCAATCTTTTTTAGAGCTTTTATTTTCTGGAAGGAAATCCTGAAACATGCTTTTTTTTTTTTTTAATTTTTTTTCAACATTTATTTATTTTTGGGACAGAGAGAGACAGAGCATGAACGGGGGAGGGGCAGAGAGAGAGGGAGACACAGAATCGGAAACAGGCTCCAGGCTCTGAGCCATCAGCCCAGAGCCTGACGCGGGGCTCGAACTCCCGGACCGCGAGATCGTGACCTGGCTGAAGTCGGACGCTTAACCGACTGCGCCACCCAGGCGCCCCTGAAACATGCTTTTTCAGAAAGCATTCCAATATTTAAGGATTTAATTCAAAGAAAACCAAAAGAAGCACAGAGTAAAGGGAAACAGACTTATTAATTATAACTAGAAAATAATATTATAACACACTATAAACTTTAAAATAAGCAAGGGTGAGGGGCCACCTGGGTGGCTCAGTTGGTTAACGTGTGACTCTTGATTTCCATTAAGGTCATGATCTCATGGTTTGTGACTGTGAGCCTGGTATTGGGCTCTGCACCCACAGTGCAGAGTCTGCTTGAGATTCTCTTTCTCTCTCCCTCTCACTCTGTCCCTCCTCCACTCTCTCTCTCTCAAAATAAATAAATAAACTTGAAAAAAAAAAAAAAAAAGCAAGGGTGTGGGAATGCAAGCTGGTGCAGCCACTCTGCAAAAACAGTATGGAGGTTCCTCAAAAAACTAAAAATAGAACTACCCTACGACCCAGCAATTGCACTACTAGGCATTTATCCACAGGACACAGGTGTGCTGTTTCGAAGGGACACATGCACCCTCATGTTTATAGCAGCACTATCAACAATAGCCGAAGTATGCAAAGAGCCTAAATGTCCATCGATGGATGAATGGATACAGAAGATGTGGTGTGTGTACACACACACACACACACACACACACACACACACACAATGGAGTATTACTCAGCAATCAAAAAGAATGAAATCTTGCCATTTGCAACTACGTGAATGGAACTGGAGGGTATTATGCTAAGTGAAATTAGTCAGAGAAAGACAAAAATCGTATGACTTCACTCATATGAGGACTTTAAGAGACAAAACAGATGAACATAAGGGAAGGGAAACAAAAATAATAAAAAACAGGGAGGGGGACAAAACAGACAAATATGGAGAACAAACAGAGGGTTAGTGGAGGGGTTGTGGGAGGGAGGATGGGCTAAATGGGTAAGGGGCACTAAGGAATCTACTCCTGAAATCATTGTTTCACTATATGCTAACTAATTTGGATATAAATTTTAAAAAATAAAATATAAAATTAAAAAAAAATAAGCAAGGGTGCCAACTAGTCATTAAATCAGTTTTAAAATAATTTGCATGGCTCAAAATGGTTATATTTATACACATATATACACACACATATATTTTAATTTTACTGACTGATGTCACTTTATTTAAATAAATTAGTTTAAAATTAAATTTTAAATAAAACATTTTTTTTTTTTAATTTAAAGAGAGAGGGAGAGTGCAGAAGCCAGGGAGAGGGAGAGACAGAGAGAGACAGAGACAGAGAATCTCAAGCAAGCTCCATGCTCAGTGTGAGATCACTACCCATGACGAAATCAAGAGCTGGATTCTCAATTGAATGAGCCATCCAGGCACCCTGATCTTATATTTTAAAACCAAAATTTCAGATCCCAAGTAAAAATGATTAGAGCAAGATTAAAAAAGACAAATTAAGTTTTAAAATAGTTACAGGTTGTTCTCATATGATAAAGAAATAAACCGGAAGCAATCATATAAGATATAAAACAAGACTTTCCTAATAAAGAAAATTGTGATGATTTGTTTTTCTAGGTATTCTTACAGATGGATTTAAACATGATCTAAATTATAAATGCTTATCTACAGTGATTCTGTCTGATAGACTAAAAGGCGAATAAATGTTCATTTACTTAAATGTTTATTTTGAGAGAGAGAGAGAGAGAGAGCGCGAGCATGAGCAGAGGAGGGGCAGACAGACAGAGTGAATCTCAAGCAAGCTCCACGCAGTCAGTGCAGAACCTGATGTGGGTCTTGATCTCATGAGCCGTGAAATCATGACCTGAGCCGAAATCCAGAGTTAGACACTTAACCAACTCAGTCACCCAGGCACCCCTGAATGTTCATTTTAGATCCAAGACCTTCTATTTTACTTTAGTTCCTAATTACATGTAAGATTTTTAACAGTTCTTTTGTCTTCCACTAGATGGTGATGAAAGCTCATATAAAATGGGGGGTAAAAAAAGTGTCAATTTTCCAATATCAAAGAATAAGATCTACTTATTATTTTAAAGGCATAGCTACGGTAAACAGTTTATTTTGAATTATGAAAACATCTCCAGAAGTACGTACACCACTTCCCTCCAAATGCTTTCCTTGTTATAAACAATTAGGGTTAAAAATAAAAGTCTTTGCCATTTACTCCAGATCAACATTAAAAGAAATAATCATTGCATCGTATCACATGATAAATTTCAGGGCTACATGCAAAGGTAGTTCCAAAGTATTTAACAGAAATGGTAAATGGGCCTGGAATTAGAAATATGCCACTGATAAGCCATAAAGTTTATACTTTATAGAGCCATTTCTTGGTCACCATCAATCACTACAAATTATAACAAAAATAGCCAGTTAGAACTACTGGTGGGAGTAGCTATACTTAATGCACGGGAAGTACAAAAGTTTAGAGCCAAGAGGATCTTTATTTGAATTCTGATTCATCTACTTACTTGACAGGTGATCCTGAGTGAATTATTTAACCCCTCCAAAGAGTGTACCTTTCCTCATTATAATGAAGATGTTGACAGCTCCCTTCCAAGCTTGTCATAAGAATTAAAATCTAGTAATAATGCATTCAAATCGCTCAGTGTATTATTACCTGGCACACAGGTGAAAATTAATGTTAAATTCCTTTCCCCTTTCCTTCTAATCCCACTCAGATATATATACCCAGGAATATTTTTTAAATAAAAGGCAAAAAGAAAAAAAAAACATGTACCACATTTATAAAATGCTGGATGTTTACATATTCAGATAAGCAATGAAGGCCTGTACATAATCTAGACAGAAAAAGCCTTCCCAGTCACTTCACTAATGGAAGTTAAACTTACAGTTGTAATAGAAGCTCCCTGACTGATGACTATCTTCCTCCCACTAGATGGAATAACAGAAAGACTCACCATACAAAAGAATACTTTTTCATATGAAACCAGATAACTAAAATGAAACTCCAGTCCTTACCGTTTGTACACACAGACTCTTCCAGCTCAGTGTGTGTGTGTTCTATGTATCGGACATGGAGGTTCTCCTTTCTTCGTAGACGGTTAATGCCAGAAAAGGAAAAGGCTGTTATTGGTGAATCTGGAATAACGTTTTCCTCAGATTCAAGATCAGTTGCTTGATGCTGTTGATCATTCCTAGAGGAAAATAATGGCAAATGGAAAAAAAAAAAAAATTAATTCAACAAATATTTACTAAAACATCCCTACCTAGTATGGAGCTACAAAAGAACATAGGTATAAAGCTATGAGAGATGCAATTCCTTGCGTTTAATGTTCCAAATCTAAATATAAGGATTAGAGAAGTACTCAAATGATTAGAGTACCAATTGGGGAATATTATTGTGAGAAGTGAAGTACAAAGTGTAGTTGGTGGTACCTTGAGGTAAAATTAAAAGAATCTCAAATGGCAGAGAAAATGAGCAGAGGATCCACACATCTGAGTAAAGGCATGCAATGCTGTGTACTTGGTGTTAGAGGAGGGCAACCTGAAACTACATGAAAAAGAGCCTTGATTAAGTGCGTGCATAATTTAGAAAGCAAGAGGAAAAGAACTGATGAAGGTTTCACAGCATGGAAGTAACGTGACAATGTAGCAGCAAGACTGCAACACTGACTGGAACAGAAAGGAGGCAAGGAATCAATTAGGCAGTGGCTATAATGGTCCAGGCAAGAGTTTCTGGGGGTTTGAACTAGAATGTTGAGAATAGCTATGGAAAGGAAGGGACCAATATTAAACACTGGCAGAATTAACATGACTTGGCAAGTGACAAATAAGGGGCGATGAATAATACTAACACTGATAATATTATTGTTGGAGGTTTATACTGTTGGGTACTGTTCAAAGTGCTACGTGCATCAGTTTAATTATCACAATTGTAGGAGCTATTAATAGTACTCTCATTTTACAAATGAGAAAGTTAAATCACTTACTAAAATAGTAAGGAGCAGAAGCAGGATCTAAATCCCAGCAGCCAGATTCCAAAGGACAGTACTGCTAAACATTCAATATGTTATCCTTAGTACAGACTATGAGACGAATGACTGATCACACGTAGGATTCAAACTTTGAGTTTCTACTGCTACTTCTATCCAGGCCCCCTTAGAGTCTACTCTCAACACATCAGTCAGAAAAGTCTTATTAATACTTAGTCATATCATGTCACTCCTGATTAAAACCTGCCTTATCTCCCCATTTCACTGGAAACACAAGCCAAAGCCCTATAAATGATTCACAAGGTCCTACGTGATCTCATTGTCTCCCTCCCCCATTACCTGGGATCTCTTTTTATACTATACTCCAATCACCCTCACTTCCTCAAGGTTCCTCAACATATCCAACTTGAGTTCTTTCTCTAGCTCTTCCTTCTGCTTGGAATGCTCATCCCTAGACATCACTTACTTAGTGATCTCATTTCTTTCAAGTCTTTGCTGAAGTTTTACTTTCTCATCAGTGCCTATCTTAAACATGCTATTTAAAACTGTACCCTCTTGGGACTCCTGAGTGGCTCAGTCAGTTAATTTTCCGACTCTTGGTTTCAGCTCAGGAGGAGTTCATGATCTCACAGTTCTTCAGGACGAGCCCTGCGTTGGGCTCAGTGCAGAGCCTGCTTGGGAATCCTCTCTCCCCCTCCCCCACTCATGCTATCTTTCTGTGTCTCTCAAAAAAAAAAAAAAGTGGGGGGTCTTAAAAAAAATTGTAACCTCCTTCCCATACCTTAGGTACTCCTGTTACTTGTTATTTTGTTATTTGCTTTATCCATGGTATTTATGGCTTTTGAATATAGTATATAATTGACTTGTCTATTGCTCACCTGCCAGAATGTAAGCTCTAAGAGGATAAAGAATCTTTGGTTCATTGTTACATCAAGTGAACATGAGTAGGCACTTGGTATGTGCTCAGAAAATATTTGTTGAATGAAGGAATATGAGAGATCCCCAGATTTCATTAGAAAAATAAATTTGTGTTGATTCAGGCATATGTTTTTGCCCAACTCAATTCAGGACCAATGGTACCTAAAGACTGGGTTTGGACTGAATTGTGGTTATTGAGTAAATAATTAATTTTTACTCAATTGAGTTTCCCATTACTGACTTTATTGACCAATTCTTACCAGTTGGTCAGGCATTTAGGCTTTATGTGACAAAACCAGTCTGTCTATTATACTCATTATCAATTTGTAGTACTATTTCCAAACAAAAAGTAAAGAACATCTTATAACTATGACCAACAGAGATTTAAAAAAAATTACAAGATTAATTACTCCTAACACAGATTTGTATCTTAATTTCCTGGGTAACACCAGTATTATTTGTGGTCTGTAATCCTATATTCTATACTGAGGAAAATCTTTAGAGCTAATATCTAATTTTTAACTGTCTTATTTTGGAAAAACAGAGTAAGTTAAGGTCATATGAGAAAGACTTATAAATTAATGGAGTGTGAAACCTACCCAACCTTGCTTTAACTAATCACGTCAGAGGCTATCCACCTATTAGTCATGAAAATTCAACCTGGAACATGAATGAGTCACAAGAAACTGATTTCCTGGAACAGTCAATCTATAAGTAGCTGGGATCACAAAAGGAAAACAAAAACAAAACCCCCAAAAACCTAGATCTAATTAGAGGTGCAAACTAAGTAAACAAGTGCTGGCTTTATCTTCTTTTGCCATAAAAGGGGGAAAAAAAACCAAATAACTTCCATATATTAACAAAGTTTCTTCTTTAAAGCATTAGATCTCACTCAGATTTTCTGAGAAATGTTAAAAAGTTCATGCCACAGCTTTAGTTAATTATATACACTGGTCATCTTTCTTCTTTCACTTTTCTAACAGCCCAAGAGTAAATTTTTGATTGTCTGTTTTATTTGTTGGCCTTCCCTGCTTAAATTCCTGTCACAACAACTTTAGTCGTTCTTTTTTTCTAAAGACCTATAAAAGTGCAGAGTCTCCCTCTGTAAAGAGTCTACAAAAGTTTTTAACATTCAGCTTTTTTCCTCTGAAGAACTTAACAGTGGGTTAAAATATAATTTAAACTTAATGGAATAGTTATAGCCATTAAGTTCACTTAAACATTTTGGTTTTCAAAAAAAGGAAAAAGGTCTGTACGCTATAAACTATTGAGTCCAATATCTGGATCTTTTGGAAGTAGTATAAGTTTATAATATGAATAATTCAAGTAAGACTAATTTTAGGGGCGCCTGGGTGGCTCAGTCGGTTGAGCATCCGACTTCAGCTCAGGTCATGATCTCACGGCTTGTGAGTTTGAGCCCCGTGTTGGACTGTGTGCAGCAGACAGCTCACAGCCTGGAGCATGCTTCGGATTCTGTTTCCCTGTCACTCTGCCCCTTCCCCACTCATTCTCTCTCTCAAGAATAAACATTAAAAAATTGAAAGACTAATTTTCAAAAGTAGAGCTATTAAACCAGTTGTACTTAGGACCTACTTAATTGAACATCTAGCTTTCTCAGGAAGGCATGTGACAGTGACTCTCTTGATACCATCTCATGAAGAGTGATAATGAAGGAAACGCCTCAGGGCTCCATCCTCAGGCAGATTTTATTTAACATTTTTTAAATGATTTCGATGCAGGGTACTTAATGGAATATTCACATTTGTAGAAGACATAAAGCAGAGAATGAAAGCTAACCTAACAGATGGCAGGAAAAAAATCAACACATGAAAGACCCCCAAAGGTTGGAATAATGGGCCAAATCTAACAAAACAAAATAGAGCAGGAGAAATGTGAGATTATAAACTTCAATGAACTGAATCAGAAAAGAGAGAATCCAGACTCTGCCACCTACATAGGTAGATAACCTTCTGAGGCTGTTTTAGCCCAAAATTATAGAAAGAGTATACAGTCTCTGAAGTGAGGTACACCTGGGTTCAAATGCTAGGTCTGACACTTACAAATCACACTGGGTAAATCAGTTGACCTTTCTGAGCCTTAGTACCTTATCTATAAAGTATGGTACTGTACTCTCCTGCTTCCTTTTTGTAGGAAGGCTGTGAAAAGGAAGCAATATATGTAAAGTCATAATCCAATGCCCAAATAATAGTATTTAATCAATAGTGCTCTTCTATTTATTTTTTAAAGATTCAAAAAAAAGTTTATTTGTGCATTATATGCCAACAAATTGGGCAATCTGTAAAAAATGGGATAAGTTCCTAGAAACATATAAACTAACAAAACTGAAACAGGAAGAAATAGGAAATTTGAACAGACCCATAACCAGTAAAGAAACTGAATCAGTTTATCAAAAATCTCCCAAGAAAGAGTCCAGGGCTGGATGGCTTCCCAGGGGAATTCTACCAAACATTTAAAGAAGAGATAATACCTATTCTTTTGAAGCTATTGCAAAAAAAATAGAAATGGAAGGAAAACTTCTAAACTCATTCTATGAGGCCAGCGTTACCTTGATTCCAAAACCAGACAAAGACCCCACTAAAAAGAAATACAGACCAATTTCCGTGATGAACATGGATGCAAAAATTCTCAACAAGATACTAGCAAACTGGATCCAACAATACATTATAAGAATTATTCACCATAATCAAGTGGGATTTTTTTCCTGGGCTGCAGGGCTGGTTCAATATCTGCAAATCTATCAACGTGATACATCACTTTAATAAAAGAAAGGATAAGAACCACATGATCCTCTCAATAGATGCAGAAAAAGCATTTGACAAAACATAGCATCCTTTCTTGATAAAAACCCTCAAGAAGGTAGGGATAGAAAGGACATACCTTAACGTCATAAAAGCCATATACGAAAGACCCACAGCTAATATCATCCTCAATAGGGAAAAACTTGGAGCCTTTCCCCCTGAAATCAGGAACACAACAGGGATGTCCACTCTCACCACTGTTGTTGAACATAGTGTTGGGTGTCCTAGCCGAAGCAATCAGACAACAAAAAGAAATAAAAGGCATCCAAATTGGCAAGGAAGAAGTAAAACTTTTACTCTTTGCAGATGACATGATACTCTATGTGGAATACCTAAAACACTCCATCAAAAAACTGCTAGAACTGATACATGAATTCAGCAAAGTATAAAAACCAATGTCATAAAACCAATGACAGAAATCAAATGCATTTCTATACACTAATAATGAAGCAGCCGAAAGAGAAA